GGAGACAGCAATAAGAACCCTCATATATTCCTTCGTCAAATATTGAGTAACGAATTTGAGACAGGTGATATGATGCAATGATGAACAGGCAGATAAGGCTTCTGCCCTCACAGCCTAGAAAGGAGACATATAGCTCTTACACATGCACACTAGGGACATTTTTCTGAAAGCTGGCTCACAAATCATGAATCTGCCCAAAAAGATATGATTAAAATCTCACTAATGCTTATTCTCTTGTTAGCTATTTTTTGAATGAACATGTCCTTAATTCAAAATTCTCTTTTAACTATGTAAAAGAGAGGTTATATACTTAAATTCTCACAAATATTCTGCACATATTCACAGGGATCCAGACCTGGGAAATAAATTTTGCAAAATGATGCTTCTCAGCATAGCACAAGGGTTTACTTACACTTTGCATAAGAATTGCTAAGAGGAACTTAATTAATATGCTTAATGCTCTTTCTTGTTTATAGCCCAAGTTGGATTTTCAGTTAACATTATATAGAACTCTGACATGTACTTCTCTTTCTCTCTTTACCACCTGTCCAAGCAAATTTCTAAATGCCCTGTGATAGTGATGACAATGTACACACAGGGCAACTCTGTGAGTACTTAGGCTGCTGGATATGTTTCTTCAGCTTGATTTTAGGGTGAGGAATAACAACAATTTCAAGTAGCATTTCTAAGTGATGAAAATCACCAGGCTTAGAAATGTTTCTAAAATTACCTGCTTGTTGTGTCTAACATGATATTTTATACTTCAAAATGTTGCACTTATTAATTTTCTGACTTTCCTCTCTCAACATTGACTTTTGAGAGTTGGTTGCAAATGCTGCATAAAATTCAGCATCTTCTCTGCTCTCCTGCCATAGCAAACATATCTTTATTAGGAGTTGGACAAAAGAGCTGTATATTTCTCAAAGCCTTTCCCTTTAAATTATTTCTGGTAGAGGCTGGATGTGAGATCTGCCTGTGACTTGCTAAAGGCTATTTATGATTTATTTCAACCTTTAGCTGGTTCTATGAAAGAAAAAAAATGAACAAAGTTGAAAATACAGAAAAAGAGTGCTTAATCCTCAGTGTTATTTCAGTGGAAGTCAGCACCCTGACTCTTATGAGGGCTGCATTGTGTAAATGTTTATATTTTTATTTTTCCCTCAGAGTTAAAATTAAAATCCTTTATCATTTTTAATTAGAAAACAGTACTATTGTTTTTGAAAAAGATCAGATTTCAAGCTGTGAGCCTTTTAATACAGACTGGTCTGCTGAGACTTTTCTGAAGCACTAGGGGGAAATTTAAAACCCAGTCAAATAATTTTCCTGGGCAAAGTGGTGATAGGTCATGGTGAGATATGGGTGTCATTAAAATTTCATAGAGGTCCCTATCACAGCAGAGTCACTATAGCATTGAGACACTGACTACAGTATCTCCAAAGAAGTGTTTGCTATCTATCATGGGCTCTGAGGGGAGCAGTTACCATCTTTCTATGCAGTAATCTGCATGTTAAAGAGTCCCTAAATATGTATTTACAAGATATTCAGGTCTGTTTTGGCCTATTGGGTCAAAAATTCACACACTAAAAGTCCCTAAATATGTATTCATAAGATAGATCAGCTTTGGTTCACTGAGTGGATAGTAAGTTGGCCTTTTAAAAAGGGGCCTAAATATTAAGAGTTGCATAGTTTGCTTTCAGCAAGTTCAGAAATGCAGTTCTGTATGCTTTGTCTTTTAAGAGTAGATTTATTATGCTAGCTTCAGTGGATGCCAGAAGCTGTGTTTCACTCTGGCCTATGATATTTCGCTTTTAGAAAGTCAGAAGAAAGACCCCCAGAGCACAGACACACAGGCAGAGCCTCAGGGCAGGATGAATCCTGCCCTTCCAGACGGTATCTTACCACCGCCTCTGTCATCGGCCAGGTCCCATCCCCCCTTTTCCTCCCACTGCTGGGCTGGAGACCACTTGCCCACCTTCAAGCTCATTCTAGCAGCAGAGGGATCCTGTGAGTACTGCAGAACCTGGTCCTGCTCTCCTCCAGTAACTTCGCATCTCATCCTAAAAGCCGAAGGTCCCTCAAGATGCGCCCCTGCGCATTCCGAGTTTGCCTCCTCCTGCTGCCTGTCTGTCCCCCTTGCCCGGGCCCCGGCGCACGCTGGCCTCGGCTGTACCTGGGCGCATCCCGGAGGGGTCCTGCTTTGGGCTCTTTGTATCCATGCTTGCCCTCTGCTCTATCTGAAGGCTGCTCTCTCAGGATCCACATGGCTAGTTCTCTTCAGGCCTTTTAAGAGAGCAGCCCTACAAGGGCTCGGGCCTGGTGCCCTGGGAAGACCCAGAGGAATCGGGTGGAGAGGGAGGTGGAGGGGGGGATCGGAACGGGGAACACATGTAAATCCATGGCTAATTCATGTCAATGTATGACAAAAACCACTACAATATTATAAAGTAATTAGCCTCCAACTAATAAAAATAAAATGAAAAAAAAAAAAAAAAGAGAGAGAGAGCAGCTCTCCCTGGCCACCTGTATAAGAGAGCAACACCTCATCCCAACACCATGCATTTCCTTCCTCTGTTACACACACTGCATGTTCTCCACTAGGACTTAATCACCATCTGATATAATGCATCTTCACTTGTTTTCTGCCATTCTCTGTCCCCTAAAGGTTAAGTTCCACTGGAGAAAAGGCTTTATCAATCCTAAATAAAGACCTAGATAAAAACCTGACATCTTTTTTAACTTCTCATTAAATATTTATGGTACAACTGAACAAAAGCAGATGAAAAGGAGTCAATTCCCCAGTTGCCTATCAATGTGTTTTCATTTTTTAGCTGAAGAGGAATGAGTATCTCTTTCTGAGATGAAGTCCTCTGTTTGGCCATCAGACCTCAGGTTCCCATAATGCTCTTTGAGTGGCATAAAACTGGTCCTTCTTGAAGGACCACGACATTCACTGCGTCCCCCCAACGTCTGGGTTATAGCAGAGTTCCTGGAGGAGCTGGGGTCATCTGAGCTAGTCCCAGAAACGCTTGAGCAGTCTGCTTCTAAGTGTAATAGTGTGTAAAGGCAGCATTTCTAAATCTCCCCCCACCTAATGTGGTGAGCACAATCAGCTCTGGTGATAGCAGTGGGCTTACTAGGTCTCACAGTCCCATCTGATGCAATCAAGAGGGATGGTGTGTAACACTCTGCCATGTTAGTGTAAGAGACTGAGATGTAATTAGTAGAATCACTATCTTCTAAAGTTGGTGCATTATCCTTGGGTCTTCCCCAGTGCCTCCACTCCCCCATTAGCCATGCAGATATTCTCAAATGTACCCTTCCCCATGACTGAAGCCTGTCACAGTAACTTATTCCTTATTTAAATTTCACAAGACCATTCTTTATTTCAATAACTCAGAAAGGTGCCTTCGGCAAGAGAATTACAGCTGACAGACAAGTAATGACTAGGATTCTGTGATTAGTTCAGATTACAGGCTACAGAAGACCTATCTGAGCATTTACCACTGTCATCACATGATGCTGGCCACTATTAGGAGTTGACATTGGTTGGAAAAGAGGATGTGGTTCAGCTAGAGTAAGCACTAGAAAATCTGCCTGTATTGTAATAGTCAATGACATGCTAATTAATGACAATAATTTTTACTGTGACTCTGCTTAGCGTAAGCAAGTCTCTCTCCCATACCCTTCCCTAGCACACAGATGTATTTTAATAAAGCTTTAAGGCACAAACTAAATAAAAAGTTGAAGTGATCTAGATAATTCCATTCCCCAAACCCAAAGCAATTAATTAACTGAAAAAAGACATCGTTTAATCTTGAATTATTTGGATAAGTGACTGAACTTTGTAATTTATTTTGCATAAATAAGCAAAACTTAATGGATATTTCAGTGTATATCAGTACTTAAGAGGATTTATAAAACTCTTCAATCAAATTAATTGAGAGGAGGGGATAAGTAATTAACATGAACAAAAATGACAAAACCATTTACTCAGATATTGGGTACAATTGCACACTCTTCCAAATTCTGGCTGAAAAGAAATAATGATTTCTGTAATCCCCAGCAATGACTTTTGGAGGGAGATTTCAAATAAATGTCTATTTGCTTTAGGTGAGCTTCACTGAATTGGCCTTATTTAATTTCAGATCCTCCTAAGGGAAGAGATTTCAGGATTTCCTGGTTGTAAAATGGAAGAGAACATTTTGCTGAACTTGTATGACATCATCTAAAGCATTTAAAGGGCAGATAATCATGACTTCTTTGCCTGTTTACCAAAGCTTCTTTATGTCCTCAATCTACTTTATTTCCAAATGTCAGAGTAGTCTGAAACCTTTCAAAGATTTATAGACTGCAGAAACAGAGGAAATATTAGGATGAATCCTTTAACTTTTGTGAAAACTTTTAAGTAATTAATAGACGGGCTTTTGAAATTATTTCATATCACAGTACACACACTCTAACATGTACTATATGAGGGTTAAACATGGTTTAACAACAAAGGACATGAGGTCATCTCTCTTTCTAGAAAGTCAGGGAAAATGTTCTTTAAAGTACTTGAGTCATAAATAAAAAGAATATTGAATTTGTGAAGGGGAATATAAATAATATAATATTTAGTTTATCAATTGAAATAAAAATACTACAGAATGAATAAAAATAGTAAACACAGCCTTGGTTTTAAATATAATTCCTTTCCAAACTCTACTTGAAATTCTCTTATATTACATAAAGGAGAAAAAAATGTAGCTTCCACAATACTATTTATACAAAGCAACAAAAAATGTGAGCAAATTATTTTCAAGTTTATATTATCAAAATGTTTTCCAATACGCTTAAAATACTAGATACCAAATAGCTGAAACAAATATTTAAAAGCTCTTAGCTTAGATAAATAATAGTAAAATATGTCTCATAGTAATAAATTAATTTTTCTTTGTTATGCAAAACCCCTCAACCATGACTTCATGGAGAAGTGTGAAGTGGTGTGAAAATGCTCTTACCTCATATTCAAAGTCCTCTGTTCTGTCTGCATCAGCGGGTAAGCTGGAAAGATACTCATTGTCCTCATAAAATTCATGCTCCATTGGATGGAGAGAATGGCAGCTGTGGGGAATATAGCAATATGATAGAAATGGATCAAAAGGGTTGTTCTCAAGATTAAAAAATGACATTAGAATTTCACTTTAGTTTTCTCTGCTCGCCAATAAGACCTATAGTGATCTAGCCTTTAAATGAACTACAGCTCAGAAAGAACAATTGCTTTTCTTCTCCCCTTATATGAAATCCATCAATTTGATTTTCTGAGAGAATACCAAGATAATGGCTCATTGTCAGAGCTTCATTTTGTGAAGGGGCAGATAGATGTGGGTTCTATCCTGGCAATGGTGCCATATTGATACTCTGGCTGCCTTCCCTTCCATCCAGTGGACTTGACACATACATTGGTGTGTGGCTTTTGAGACTGCAGTCTACCCAAAGGTGGGTATTTTGTAACAAAGTACTACCAATTTCATAATTACAGGCTCAAACTGTTTCTGAAATTTTATTTTCAAAGCTCATACAGTCAGCCTTCTGAAGGTATGGGTTCTGTATTTTTATTCAATTAAACATGGATCAAAAAATCAAATCTGAAGTTGGTTGAATCCTTGGATGAAGAATCCACAGATGTGGGAATGAAGTGGGAATTGTATTTTTCAGTCTGTAAATTGTATTCACATTGCCTCCATTTCTTGAGACTTTCTTCCTCATTCTCCCTCATAACCCACATACACAAACATTAAAGAATGTTCACGGTGATAACTCACTGGAAACTCCTATAAACCATACAGTTTCATAATCCTTTTAGAAAACATCTGGGGACAGAGAGAACTAATAAAGTAAAGGAAATGAAGGGGTTCCAGGACACTGTGTATGACTTTTATGTATCCACTAACTTTGGGGAAATGTTTTAAATAATTCACAGAAGTGCTTTCAAATTATTATATGCCATGATGTATACATTATACAATATGAAAGCTGTGTGTGTGTGTGTGTGTGTGTGTGTGCTCAGTTGCTTGGTTGTGTCCTAGTTTTTGTAACCATTTGGACTGTAGCCAACCAGGCTCCTCTGCCCATGGAATTTTCCAGGCAAGAATACTGGAAGGAGGTGTCACTTCCTTGCCCAAGAGATCTTCCAGACTCAGGGACAGAGCCCACATCTTTTGCGTCTCCTGCATTGGCAGGCGTATTCTTTACCACTAGCACCACCTGGGAAGCCCAATGTGAAAGCTAAGCACAGTTTAGCAGCAAAGGGCATGAGGTTCTCTATGAGCATTTCTAAGTCAGTGAAAAAAGCCTATGTGAAATTAACCAAGTTGGCTTCAGGAAAGGCCTCTAAGCCCATTTTGAACATTATGACAAAAATGAACTTAGTAGTATAAATTAGTCCCCTTATCCATTAATAGCTGAAAGGCCGGAGAGATCCATCCTGGTACCTCACAGGATCAGTGTAAATACTCTACCAGCCTCTTATTACTGTTCTCTAATTTGGGCCCAAATAGCAAAACCAGTGCAGGCAGCATCTCGCTTGCTGGTCTAAGAGCTTAAACCTGGACTGGTTTTGAGAAGCCCATTCCCGCTGCTTAAACATCATAACCTGCTGTTTGGAGCAGCTGATGTGTTTTCCTGGTCTTTGAATTATTCAAAAAAGGAGGCCTGCTGTGAAGGACACCTTACTGATACTTTAGTAAGAGTTTACTGAGTATCTACAAGATACCAGGCCCTATGCCAATTGCTGGAAGTTGGTTGGGCACAAAATCCAATTCTTGTCCTATTAATTGGGTAGAGCAGCAAAGTGGGGATTTTAATACAGTGTGATAATTAAGGGGAAAATAGAGAAGCTATGAGAGCACCTACCAGTGGGGTCAAATGCCTTAGGTTCAGAAGCCTGACCCTATCACTTCCTTTTGTGTGATCTTGCCAAATTCCTTAACATGTTTGTCCTCATCTGTGATGTGGGCATGGTAATAATATAATGTGCTCACTCAGGAAATTTTTGTGAGGAATATTACCTAAAACATGTTAAGTTAGCTAATAAATGGTAACTATTAGTCATTCAAGAAAGTATTTATTGGATGGCTGCTCTGCATCAGGTTGTACAAACGAATATTATTTGTTCTTTGGTTTGTGTGCTTTTCATTTCCCCTCTAGAATATAAGCTCCAGGAGGTAGTGGCTTTGTTTTTGTTATCAGTTTTCTGCCCAGTACCGAGTTCTATGGCCTGACACAAGGGGCTATTTGATAAGTAAGGGATACATGACTAGAATCATAGGTCAGACAGACGGAGGCCCTGCCCACGAGAAACATAAGGTTTCAAGGCGTGGCGCACATTAAAATTGCTTAGGGAGATTTCTGAAAAATTCGAATGCCTATATTTTGGCCTGAGGTAGGATTGATCCAGGCACTGCATTTATTTTGCTTTTCAAAGTTCCCAAGTGACTTTAATGCACACATGTGGATCACTGAGATGGACTTAATAGAAGACCCTAAAGGGCAGGCAGGTGTCATGACCAGGTCTACATTTTACTAAATGGAACACGGATTGCAGCAGGCAATGAAAACGCAGGCTCCAGAGACTTCTGCTCCTATATAACAGGCTGTCAATCATTTTGGACTATTTGCTTAAAAACTCACAGAACAAAATGTGTGGGGCCAAACAGACTTACAAAACTGCACAGGTAGGATTATTTGAGTAAAATATCTGTAACAGCCTTTAACTCAGGTAAAAACTAGGAAGAAATATTCATTTAATAGTTCTTTATTTTGTAGCTCTATATACTTCCTCTCAGACAGCCAGGACCTTTGGTTTACATCCCAATATATCAGGTAATTGCTTCCTGCAGAGAATTGCACCTTAATAAAGTGAATTTCCTAGCTTCTCCTTTAAAGAAGAGAAACACAAAAGAGAGAATGAGAGAGAGGCAACCCACCAAGGAGAACAGAGTGCCAACATGCCGCGTCTAGGTCTGTCTTAATAAGGTTTTTGGCAACTTCAGTGAGAAAATCTATTTCCCTGACCAGTGATTGTGAGCTGTGCGAGGTTTGTGATGACTGAAAACATGAAGATGAACTAATCAGAGCCAGACTTTGTCACTGCATCTCAGCAAGTAGGATTTCGGAGCTGAAACAATCATGTGGGTCAGGAAAGAGAGGAGCAGGAAAACTGAGAACTAATTGTATGGAGACACAGTCACAGAGATTTTCCAAACAGGACAGAGAGGTTGTCTCTGTAACTGTCAACCGGCTACGGGGCCTGATTCTTTCCAACATCTACTTTCAGCGACAAATGACAACAAATAAGGCTCCAGCATAAATGACAGAAAAGTACCTGTCTGAGAGCAGGAATGGACAGATGTCGGGCACTGGAGGGGTGGGTGGCCTAAGTTTGGCCAGGGCCATTATATGTTCAAAGGTGATGTCCGTCTGAGTGCTGGCATTCATGAGTCGCACTTCTGGGGCTGTCCCATAGGCTGGTTTACTGAGAGGCGTTCGCCTTAGCACCTGGACCACGATAGGTTCCTTGGCATTTCGAAAAGCTTCCACTGCCTCTTCATGGGTAGCCTTTGAGAGATCCTTCCCATTGACCTGCAAAGATAAAAGGGCATTGCTCATCTCAGAGGACAGAACAGAGAGACTGTCATGATAGATTAATAAAAGGTGGGCAGGGGAGGTTTAAACAAGTTCTGCTATGAATTTTGTGAAGGAATATTTAATCAGACATTGACATTTATTGAACTATTCACCAACAGGAGAAAGTGATGGAAACTAGGAAAACAGTTATTTCTTACATCTTTAAAAAGCACACCATCAGAATTATTAGTAAAGATTTCAAACCTTAAGCAACACATAAGCCTCAGAAAATGATTAAAATCTTCAGCTAGGTAGAAATGGTAAGTATGTCTTTAAAAAAAAATGATCTATCAATCTTTTGGTGGAATTTTCAATATTTAATTTGTCTTGTGCTTGTTTGGTCTCTAAGCCGTGTCTGACTCTTGCAACCCCGTGGACTGTAGCCTGACAAGCTCTTCTGTCCATGGGATTTCCCCGACAAGAATACTGGAGTGGGTTGCCATTTTCTTCTCCAGGGGATCATCTGACCCAGGGATCGAACCCACGTCTGTTGCATTGGCAGGCGGATTCTTTACCAGTAGTCACCAGGGAAGCCCTTAATTAGTCTTACTGATGTGAAATATAATTTCTGTCAGATTTATTTTATATTCATCATTTTTATCCAAGACCATGTCATTGCTCATGTGCATGTTATCCTAAGTCCTTGCCATTCACAGTATAGTCTGTGGACCAGCAGCATAAGAGATTAGAAATGCAGAATCCCTGGCTAAATGAGAACTGGCATTTTAACAAGATTCCAGCTGACTACATGCACAAGAAAGGAGCACCGCTCTAAAACACCTCTGACAGAGTATGCCGTGGCCCTTTGCCGCCTCACCTGTTTTCATCTATACCATTTCATGACTCTCCAATGTAGCCTGGACATAACAGAGGAAGAGGGGATATTTGCCTTTTCCTTCCATCACTGCTTCTCAGTTGGGCCAACCATTGGTGTTTGCAAGATAAAAATTTTTCTTTTAGTGACACTCTCCCATGCCTGCTTTTTAAGGGCCAATGATGTTTCCTCACCTTTGTGGCACCCAAAACACCCACAGGCTTTTCTGATTACCCTCTTGAGAGGTAGTACAGAAACTGCTCTCAAATTGTCATCAATTTATTCCCCTAACATGGGTTCTAATAACACAGCCTCTTAGTGGAAGTTGTGTTTTCATAAACAGCTATAGAATCATAAAAGAAAGTCAAAACTCATGCCCCAAATGAACCAATAACATTGGCTTTTGCAAATAGGAAGAGATACTTGGGAGTACAGTACTGTGCTCAAAACCCCTGAAATTATATGATTTCTAGACAACTAAACCACCCGTCTGCTGGTGAGGCTCTAATAACTGCTATGCACCAGCAAATCTTTAGAGATCCCTGGAAGCCTTCAAAAGACACAAAAGGAATGACTGAGTTGGAGCTAGCGAGAGACTGCTGACATTCAAATGAGCACACTTTCTCCCCCTAAGTAGAGAAAGAATATGTGCATGCTCAGAGCAAATGTGGGGCATTTTGGGGTAAATGATACAGTGCCAGGTGAAAATTGTCATGTCATGTAGAGATAGGCTTAATGACCTGGCCCTAGCTAATTTACTCAACTGACCCTTGAAAGAGTTAATGTGCCTTCAGAAATTGAGCAATTTAAGTTTCCTCACCAGCACCATATGAACCAGTACAGTTTATGAAAAACTAGTAACAAACTTCAGTTGGAGATTTGGGTGTTTTCCTACCAATGTGCATAGTCATTAATTTTCTCCATGAACTAGAACATGACCACTGAGTTCACTGGTATAACTTTGGAATGACTTGATGACTTTGCACATATGGGGCAATGTGAACACAGTACAACTACTAGCTGGCACTCATTCTTTTAGCACCTTCAGATGACAGGCATTCTGGAGAGGCCACTACTCCTGAAGACCTGTAGTCAGCACGTGGTAAGAGAAGTTTCAGGGTGGAAAAGTACAAACTGAAATCTGGCTTCTTGTGTTGAAGAGCATCATCCTCTGTCTCTTCTTATGGTCAGTGTTTAGTAACTCCAGAATTATGGAAGATGATCCAGTGGTAGATAGACTGTTCCATCATAATCTATGTGGTATGGAAGAATTCCCCTTTTATCCACACATTTCCTGCTTCATGGTGTCCCTTCAACTGAGTGAATATTCATTTGTGCAAGATTTTATACCTTTACCTCTCTGAAAAGAACTCTTGGTCATAATCTGTTATCAGCTGTTTAAAACCTACTGGAGCAATGTCAACAATGCTATCTTTTCCTATAAGCATTGTATCTAAAGTAACTCCTAACAATGGCAGAATGAAAGTGTTTTTATGAAGGAACTTTAAACATTATCTGAAGGTAAATGGAAAATAATTTATGGCCATGGTTTCTTCCAATCATACATGAAATCCTGCATGTGTGTGTGCGAAGTCATTCCAGTTGAGTCCAACTCTTTGCGACTCTATGGACCATAGCCTGCCAGGTTCCTCTGTCCCTGGGATTCTCCAGGCAAGAATACCAGTGTGGGTTGCCATGCCCTCCTCCAGAGGATCTTCCCAACCCAGGGATTGAACCCTCATCCCTTGCATCTCCTGCATTGGCAGTAGGTTCTTTGCCACTAGCACCACCTGGGAAGCCGACATGAAATCCTACTAATGCATAAATTGTATGTCATTAAATAGTGAAGAAATGCCACTATTCCACTTCTTCCCCAAGGTGGCTCAGTACCCTGCCTACAATCTAGTCTTGAGACTCGTTTGTTTCTTACTTGTTTTAGTGATCTTCAAAGAAAGAATAATTTTTAAAAAGTTCCTTAATAATAATGATTATTTATCTTATGCTCCTATAAGTGAAGTAAGGCCATTTTTGCAAAGTTCAGAAAAGTATAAAAAAATTTGCAGAAACAAAAAATTACTGGAGAGTATTTTAGACTGTGAAATTATTAGTTCTTATCATAATACTTAGTATATACAGACAATATTAGCATTTATACAGCAAGATCAATAGCTATTGATTCTAAGACCTGTATATTCATTCATTTACAACCATGGCATTTATATGCAAAATTAATTTTTTGCTTTAAGGACAATTGAATACAATCTTAAAAAAGGACAGTCAATATAATCTCAAATATCTTACTTCCCTATTGGGAATGCTCTTTTCTTCTAGTTATCATGCAGCTGACCCCTATTTTCATAAGCTATTTAATATCTCTCAAAGTAAAGAAGTCTATGACCTTTAAAGGCTCAGTATACTGCCCCATGTGATCCCTTAGAAAATGTGAGCACTGATGATACAAAACGTTTTTTTTTTCACTTCACTTGAAGTTCATCAACATACTGTTAGCCTACCAAAAGGTCACCATAAGTTATGCCTTTCACAATAGAAAAAAGAAGAGTTTAATTGGGATTTTCTGGCAGTTGCTTTACTCAGTTATCATTAGTTACAGCTAGGGAGAAGAATAATTTTGAAAGAATATCTGAAATTTTAATCCTATAGAAAGTTTTGAAGTGAATTAGCAAATAAATTAATAGCAAAACTGAGTTTTCCATGTGGTTAGATCCTAAACGAACAAGATATTTGGTATTACCTAGTGCCATATCGTTATCCTTTTATTTTTTTTCCATCATATTCTTTCCTTCCCTCCTTCACTCCCTCCCTTCACTATTCCTTCCCTCTTCCTCTCTCTCTACCTCAATCTTGGTTTTGTATGGACAATATACATGAAATGAAATCGAAGAAGGAAAAGTCAGCTATTAATGGCATTCCAGTTAATATAGATAATTAAGAGTGCTGATCCAAACTGTTCTAGGTGCCTAATCAATGGAAGGAAGCAAAAGTGCTAGAAGTTGATTTGCAGGAGGAAAAACTGGGTGAAGAGTGTTGGGAGCAAAATTGATGGGAGGAAAGGTAATTTGAAAATTAGATATACACACGCATTACAGGGTGTGGGTTTGAAGTGTACATGCAGAAGACTGATGATTTGATTTAAGCAAGGTGTAGATGAAGAGACCTTTTTCTAAAGTGGTTGCTAATGAAATGAATGAGAGGTTAGAGTGTCCTAATAAACATGAGAAGTATATGAGGTAATTCCTTTTATTACTATAACATCTGGCTTTTTGATAACTGTGGACAAAACTGATCTGTTTCTAAAGCTACCTAGCAACTAGAATAAAACTGAAAAGACTCATGTACTCGCTCTTTGATAAGATGCTCACAGCCCCAGAGTGGAGCAACTGGACTCTGAAATGGTGATTAAGTCACCTGATTTGAGATAAATGAGAAACCAGGCACAATATTGATAAAGACGATTATCAGAATTGGTAACAGCATAAAAGAGGAAAGGAAGATGCTAATGATAGAAGTTTTGGGAGAAACAGAGATGTGGTTACCCTCAAGAAGAAAAATAGATTTGGGATTGGAAGCAAGTGTAAAGAGGAGCCTTAATCATGCCAAACTTGAAACAGTTCTACTGGATGTTAAGTGACTAAAGGAAATCCTAACCATGGGAAACCATTTCCAGAGGTCTTCCTCTTTCCTGCACTTACTTTATCAGTTTAGTTGATACATTGAAGATATATACACATTTTTACAGATATGAACAAATAAATGTCTTGCTTCTAAAAAATTATTTTCCATTATATTGATAGAGGGAAGTGAATAGGAGACAAGTAGTCACTTTTCAGCAAGCAATGCAAAAGAAGTGAGAATCCATTTGTTGTGGCAGATGGGCTAATTAATCCATAAGCAACTTGTGAATGTTAAGTAAAGAATATAGCTTTTCACATGTAAACCAGATCACGCTATCATTTGGTGAAGCTTCTGTTTAACTAAAAATCAATCTACTCTTTTGGATAAACTGCAAAATCTGGGCCACTTGTCAACAACCTCCCCAGAGTGACTGGTGGCCTCAGCTTGTATGTGAACTCTTCTGCTTTGATTATTCCTCCAAATCCAGCCACATGCACAATTTTCTTGAGTGTCAGAAAACAAACAGGCTTTTCTT